AAGAAGAAGAAGAACAAGAACAAGAAGCACAACAACGACAACAACCGCAAGAAAGAGTCATACCACCACAAGGGATACAAAAGGGAGCACAAAGAGTTCAGAGTGTCAAGTCTCGAAGCACTGAAGACCGAATTGAAGGCCGATTTCAAGGCCATGGCTAAAGCATCCGAGATGAGAATCATCGATGCTGTGAGAGGGCTTTAAAAGGAGGTTGGACTCCTTGGAAAAGAGGGATTTGTCCCAAGTCCCACAGTGCAGGAGAACCCGGTGATAGATCCGGTAGATAAGGACATATCCACGCCGCCCAGGTCCACAGCGACGCCCAGGTCCACAGTGCAAGAGATCAGAAAAAGTCATGTTGCGAAAGAAAGAGTTACGACAAGTCCTTTGATGTGTTCTGTCGGTACCGACAAATACTATGATCAAGATGTTGGACTTTTTGAGTTAAGACCGAGAGATGTGACTCCATTGGAGTCAGAAAAAGAGAAGACAACTGCCCAGGAGGCATTGGTTACAGAGAAAGAACCGTCTCCTAAGGAGAAAGAGGCATCGAGCAAGGAGAAAGAGCCCTCGCCTAAAGAGGTTGATCTTTCTTCCATGGACGCAGAAGTAGGAAGTAAGTATTCAAACTTTGTCATTTGGTCACATTACTTGATCACATGAGATCATATTTATTTGGTCACATGGGACCATAGTTACTTGGTCACATGGAACCATAGTTACTTGGTCACATGAGACCATATTTACTTGGTCACATGTTTTAATTAATCTGTGCATATCTTGTGTTTTGTTCAGGAAATGTCCCCGAAGAAGATGCTGAAGAGAATGATAGTGACGATGATGCTGGCAGTGGCGATGAGAACACGGAAGAAGAGGGTGACGCCGATGGTGACGAGGGTGAGACAACCGATGAAGATTCTGAAAAGGATGACGCCGATGGCGATGATACCGATGGCGAAGAGGGTGAGGGAACCGACGACGATGATACAACAGCTGAATCTTCTGATAAAGAATCGGCTGTCAAAACCAATGAAGACACAGATATGTCTGCCCCCCCTGTTGAACATGAAGTCAATCAACCTCCACCAGCAGTTGATTCCTGTGATACACAACAGTTGAAAAGAACAAAGAGGAAGCTTACTGATGGGCCATCCAAAAGAAGCCCTTATGTAGAACCAACATCAACTGCTCCACCGGCCAAAAGACAAAGATCTCAGGCTGTAGGAGGTCGAGGCAGAGGCAGAGGTTGAGGCAGAGGTAGAGGCAGAGGCAGAGGTCGAGGCAGAGGCAGAGGTAGGGGCAGCGGCAGAGGTCGAGACAACACTGCCCAGGAGGATGTTGCTGGGGAAGACGACGATGAGGAAGAAGCTTCTGAGGATGACGTTGCTGCGGTCGAGACTGAGAAAGGAATTCTGCATTCGTCAAGTGAAGAGAAGGTATTTGTATGGAATCCAGAGCGTGTCAACTCGCGTGGAGGTCTCATCAGGACTCCAGGACTTGTAGAAACATCTGGTCCACGGGCTAACACTCTATGGGAGTTTATGAAGAAGCCAGAGAGACGCGATTGTGGAAGTCAGAATTGGATGGAATACGTACGTCAAAATTTTGGGAAGATTTTCTACAAGTGGGAGTATGACTCACAGATACTGTAAGTTTACATTAAGTTATCTTACTTAACAAGGTCACACGTATCTTAGATATATGGTACCAAATGACTCAGTCACATGGTACCATTGCTCCAAGTCACATGGTACCAAATGACTCAGTCACATGGTACCATTGCACTCAGTCACATGGTACCATATGCACTCAGTCACATGGTACAGACTTCTGAAATATGTTGTTGTTTTTTTTTGTAGCATATTGAGGAGGCAATGTATGAGTTACGACTCCGCGTTATAAACAACCTGGTGACCTACATAGGAAGCAATTATATGGTTGCTGACACTATTTTCACGCGGAGCACATCAAGTGGTGGGAAAAATCAGGTGACTTGTCAACTCTGGGAGCTCTGAAGTCGTACTTCGAAGGAAGCCTTCCAACGGGATGTGCAGGAACGCCTTTGAACACTTACAATGGCTTTGTAAGTGTACTTAACATTCCATCCCTTTCAGACGATCAAATCAGTTGCCATTGGAACGCCATTCTGGTGGATTTCAATGAGAAATTGCTCCAAGTTTTTGACTGTCAACCGAGACTAAGGGTCAATGTGGAGAGTGTAGTTCAGAAACTAAGTCGTCTTATTCCCAAGGCTTGTCTCCTTGCTGGGTCAGAAGCTTTCTCTGATGGAGACGAACTGGAGATTGAGTATGTGGAGGGACTACCTGAGAATGCTAACGGTTGTGACTGCGGTATTTTTGCTGCGAAGTATGTCGATGCGATATGCCTAGGGAAAGAAAAAACGTTGTGCCCAATGATCTGTGATGCCAACATCTCCATGATCCGTGAGCAGTTGGCAGCCGCCATATTTGCAAATGGCCAAGTTCAGAAGAAGTAGGACTGACTATGTTTTATTTCACCTAAATATGACTTTGCTTTGTTTTTTTATTATATATACTATGTTATGAACTTCTTTAATTATATGTCTGAACTTCTTTAATTACAACATCTACAAAATCTAGATATAAAATGTGTTCCACAAGAGTTAGAGGTAAAAAATTAATTGGCATGAAAATGTTGGAGGGAAAAGAGATTCGGCTTACAAAATTAATGAGATTATGAGTCCCATCGAAAATCTAGGGTTAAATTGTCAACCGTAACATTTCTGAACACTTGGATGTTATTGGGTCCCACAAAAATTGTGCAATTCCAAAATTGGGTCCCACATATTTTCGCTCACATGGGATCACCTCAAACTCTTCTGTAATAGAGTTCAACACAATTACCTCATACGTACACGTCATCTCGTAACGCTCATGTAGCACTTTGTCAACATGCGGTGTCAGTTTTTGAGAATCATCGACACATCTTGCTTCCACTCGACGCCAATCGAACCATTCCACAGTCTTTGAAAGACATATATCAAGCACGCCTAGCACCGGAAACCTTTTTGCTTTCTTCAAAATAGAGTTGATTGATTCAGTCCCATTTGTAGTCAACAAGTTGTACCTTTCGCGCTTAAATTTACACCTCGCCCATTTCTCGGGATCAAGTTCTTCTTTCTGCATATACTCGGCAACTTTGGGATACCTACAAAAATGAAGACTCATGGTCTCAGGATGACATCATCTAGATTAGCCGATTTGGTACTAATGGACATAGATCACATGGTACCATATGCCATGGTCACATGGTACCCGGTGCCATGGTCACATGGTCACATGTTTCTGATTTGTCTGATTGAAAATAATGGTTAGAAAGTTCATACCTGTTCTTCAGATCAATAAATCTCTCTTCAAACTCGTGCAACGTATATGCTTCCGCGCATTTGAAAAACCTTTCTGCGACAGTTTCACCTCTTGAACTCTTTCTTCCCATGCCTCTGTTAACCTTAACTTTCAGATTTTGCGCTATGTGTCTCGCACAAAATCCATGGCCAGCTTCTTTGTACACTTCTCTAACGACCTTTATTATGCTTCTATGTCGATCAGATATCACAACGACATCAGGTCCATCTGGGATTGCATTTATTAATCTTTCCATAAACCACCTCCATGATGCATCTTTTTCTCTATCGATAATACCCCATGCCAATGGATATTGGTGGTGGTCACCATCTTGTGCGGTTGCAACAACTAATGTACCTTTGTACTGGCCTGTAAGAAAGGTTGCATCAATAGCAACCACTTTACGCATGTAATTCCATCCTTTGACCGTTGCACCCAATGAAATGAAGAGGTATTTGAAGCTTCTGCCATCTGTATCTAACTCGAGACTTATAATTGTCCCAGGATTTCTCTTCTGCAACATGTACAACCATCCAGGAAGCTTCCTAAAATGCTCTGCAGGATCACCTCGAATCTCACTTTCAGCTTTGTGCTTCCCCCGTAACGCCGACAAATATGTTACGGTTGTGCCATACTTTGCTTTTACACGGTCTATTATTTCATGTGCAGAAGGAGTGTTATCAAGTTTACCGGGAAATTCATCCTTCAAATAATCTCTAACCAATTTTTTTGTACCTCTCATACTTTTGCTTGATTCTGAAACGGGTTTGCAACTGTGAATGAGATTGTGTTTTCTTACACTCCAACACTTCGAGTTTAAGATCAATGTCGTACGCAACCTCCAATTACAGCCGGATCCAGCAAATTTGCATCTTATTTCCCATAACTTCTTATCAGACCTCATCGTAGTATACCTAAAACGAGCCATAGTTGCACCCTTTCGAACATATTCTTGCGCTGCTTCCTTATCGTCAAACTCATGATCAACTGTTATATTTAATCCATCACTGAAAGTGAACACAGAATCAGAAAACAAAGAGTCCTCCACAATCTGAAGCTCCAAATCATCACCATTATCATCATCACCATTATCATCATCATCATCATCATCATCATGACAATCAACGCACTCTTTCACCATAACTTCTCTAAGTGCACTTGAATGTTCACTATAAAAAAGATGTATAACTTCTGCCACATTATTACTCCCAACTTTACTCTTAAAATTTGGGCTCAACATAAAACAATCGTCATAGTCTACAACACCTCGTTTCCCATTTCCTCCAACAACACTACCATCAGCAGGAATTATAGCCTCTTCTTCAACG